TCTTATGTGCAGATGTTAGCTTTTAAGGCTTTGATAGCCCTGCTATAATCCATGCAACCATATCTCCCAACAGAAGGGGAATGAATATATAGTGGTGGGCGTGGTAGAGGAAGTGAGGGTTAGATGGAGAGGGGCAGGGAAGAGGGTAGGGGAGGGAATTTGGGGATGGGAAGCTAACACTAGAAGTCATTTGATGGGGTCATATGAAAACCTATACAGTAGAAGCTTCTACACACACACACACACACACACACACACACACACACACACACACACACACACGAAACCTAAATGGAGTTACCAAATAGCTCCGAGTAGACATCTTTTACCAACAAGTAGAACCTCCAGTGCCAGGAGCCAAAGGGGGTCCATAGGAACCCAAACCAATCAGGGTATTGTCAAGGCTATTGGTTGTTCTCCACAAACTGATGGCAAAGTCCTCCTGCTGAAGACAGCATCTCCATATATCACGGAACTCAGAAAAGGCATGCTAGTGCCTCACTAAAGCCTTTACCCAGCGATCACGGTACTAGAAAGTACTCTTTGTGCTACCAGAGGAGAAAGGTAAACACCATCCCAGATACAAACTCTTCAGTCTATACCATGACCGGACAGCATGATATGCCCACTGGTGCTGAAAGACCCCAATAGGGATACTTTCACGGAAGTGAGACCCGTACCCAAGGAACAGCGAGACCACGAACTTGGATGCAACAGCAAGAGGCTTTATTGGTGACATACGGGTACCCGGGCGTCTCAGTCTCAGGGAACTGAGCGCGCCGAGCTGGGGACTCAGGGTTTTTTTTTTTATAGCAAAAAGCGCAGTACAGAAGCGAGAAGCCTAGTAACAGGACCCTGATTGGGCAATTGAGGTTTTTCTTGGAACTCAAGTCTTGGCTTTGGCCCTATCTGAGGAACAATTAGTCTCTGTGTTTGCTCAATCCTGCTGAGCTGGCCGTCCGGCCACCTGCAGATACCCGGCAGCCTGTGTCCTTGGGACTGAGCTCCCTTCTGATAGGCAATGACTATGCAGCTGTGGGGGAACAGAATTCTCCATAAGCCTCAGCTGCCTGTTTAAACTGGGCCAGGGTCTTTCAGTGCTATAGTCACACCAAAGTTGTGGTAGTAAACAACCACTACCTGTTGGGATCTAAGGCCCTCTCTATGAGATGAAACCCATGTTGGACACTGCTTGGTGGCCAAGAACCTGAGACGGGATAGTTCATGGACTTAGGGGAAAAGCCAAATACTATTATTTTGCCAGAGGAATGTAGCAATAAAGTGCCTCATAATGTATCCATAGATCAGTGTCTCCCAGCCATCACCAGAGAAGCTTCCTCCTACGGTAGATGGGAACAAACACAGAGGCCCATAACTGGACAGTGTGCGTAGAGTGGGAGACTTTGGAACACTCAGTCCTAAATGGGATGTCTTCATCAAATTCTTCCCATCAGGGCACTCTGTGGAAGAGGAGAAAGAAGGATTTCCAGAGCCAGTAGGCTTGGATAACACCAAGAAGATGGCATCATCCAGACACAAGAGGACTGATGCACATATAAAGTCACAGAGACTGCAGCAGGACTCATAAGGGATTGCCCAGGTCCAAGTCAAAAAGGCTCCCAGCCCTGGGAGGGGGAAGCGGACATGTGCTCCCATCCCTAACCACAGGATAGCTCCAAGTGCAAGGGCTTGGAAAGGGAAAGCTAGTTTTCTCCTGTGAAGTCTCTGTGAGTACACACACCACACTTACGGGCAGGCCCCATGCCCAGCAATAGATAGGCCGACACAAAACGAACACAACCGTATTTTTGCACATTTTTTGTTTTTGTCTTGTAATACTTTGGGCATTTTCTACCTTACTTGTCTTTTGCTTATCTATTATGCTTTTCAATTCTTTATTTTTATGGGTTTTGTTTGTTTGTTTCTTGGGCTTTTTCTTTTTTTGCCTGTTTTCTGTTTTATCTTTAGTATCAACATATTAAAATATGACCATCGAGTAAAGGTTGAAGTCCAAACTTGCAGGGCAGTAGATATGTCCACAAGGTGGCACTCACAGATTATCTTTACTTGGTGTCCATCTTTATTTTAGGAAGAAAAAGCCCCTCCACCCTCCTCAACCCCTAAATATTCATTTTGTAAAGCAGATAAAATGATGACGACGACCTTACTATTAAGGACCTGTTTTTATATTTTGTTGCGTTTCAAAAGCCACACATTTCTCCATTCTGTTGAAATGTAGGACTTGGGGCAGATCTCCACAGTTGCAGTCAGAATTTTACAACCATAGAAAGGAAACTGTTGTTCGGGGAGAAGGCTCTCCACATTCTTACCTTACACTCCAGCACTAAACAGGTCATCCTGAGCGCTGGCATATAATATACACTGCAGTGTAAACCCAACAGACAGCTTTTAAAAGGGGGTAAGCAGGTTAGAGTAAGAGTGTTGAGAAGCTCGAAAGGCATTTTGGGGAGGTGAAACTGAAAGCAACGCCCTGTGCACAGTTTAAGTAGGAGAGAAGGCCAACGAAAGTGGGAAGTGATGGAGTAACACTGACTGAGGGTTCTTGGGTGTTCACGCTGTGCCTTGTACAGGGATTTACACGTGCTGGGGTTATCCTGAGGGATAGCTATCTCTTCAGTGGACTGAGGCATAGGTAGTAAAGCCATCTGCCAACAGACCCACCTGGGACGTGGGGGCCATGGACCCTGCTCCCTGAACCCAGAAATCACACACACTTTTAGGCAGAAGAGTGGCACGTAAGTATTTAAAAGCCTGGCTGTTTAAGATCTCGCATGGAAAGGGGTTAGCTGTACCTGTTCTCAAGGGTAACACTGCTGGGGAAGGGGGTGGGGAGGAGGCATGATACCTCAGCAGGGGACAGGAAGTAGAAGTCATGTAATACTGAAGATGATTCCAGCAGTCCCAACCCTAGGGTTCTCTCATAATTGTAATTTTGCTACTGTTATGAATTGTAATGTAATCTGATATAGGAGATATCTGGTATTCAACCCCTGTGAAGGGGCTGTTCAACTCCACCAAAGTGGTTGCTACCCACAGGTTGAGAACCACTGGCCTGTAAGTTGTTTTGGTGGATCAATTAAAAAGAGTACTTGATTGTTTTACTAACCAGGATAAAAACACATTTATTATGTTTGAAACATAAGAACCACATTGAGTCTCAAAGAGATCACATGAGACGTTAGCATTTTCATGGTCTTTCCTTTAGAGAAATCGATAGCATCTCACTTCTCTTGAGCTTGAGGGAGACGCTGAGGACACTGGGCTCCCAGTGCTTTGCTCTCTGAATAATTATTAATTCATTTGAGGCTAGCATGCTGGTGCTTGGTACTGAGGATGGGTCGCAAAGCAGCAGAGAGGAAGGGAAACCCCTCTACTTTCGTAGAGCTCAAGAAGAAAAGAAAGGGAAGTGCTTCAGGCTTTTGGTTACATGGCATCCTCAGAAAATGACACTTTGGGGGACAATGAAGTGGGGAGAGGCATTGAGAGTGAGGGGCGGGAAGAGGGGGGTTATAAAAGGCCTCCCCCAGAAGGTAATATTTGAGCCAAGCTGGGAGAAGGCAAGAGAACGAGAGCCATCTTGGGAAAACAGGGTGGACATAGAGACAGCATTCCTGTTGGGAGCCCGCCTAGCAAAGAGCCCAGTCCGTCGATGGTGGCCATGCGGTCAAGGACATGGGACGCGGGGTGAGGTCTAAAGGGCACCAAGGTGCCAGACTCATAGGCCTCTCAGGCTCCTGTGACTTGAGGTTTCACCCAGAGTTTGTGGATATGTAATGTGCCCCTTATCCCTTTGAGGGGACGGCACAGTACACGCCCCTCCAAGGGGACTGTCACCTTGACTTTTTAGTCCTTTCCCCGCTTGCTGCGGTTGCAGTACTGCCTCTCTTGAGGCTATGTCCTTCCCGGAGACATCTAGATCTAGCTAAGTAGAAAGGTCTGGCTGTCCTGATCTTCAGGGGTCACTCAGACAGGCGACACCTCTTCTCCGGTGACCACAGCTTTGCGGGGGCCTTAGTGTAGCTCAGAGCCATTCTCTGCCTCAGCTTAACTTTGCTCCCGTTCTATCACGGGGATTTGTTTTTACTGGACATCTTGCTTATCGTTTGCTTCTGGAGACCCAGCAGGTGACAATGAGATCTGAAAGCGAGAGAAAGGGGCAGACGGAGCAGGTTTGCGGACTGCCTGCTTACCCTGCGGTTCCTTGCTTTTCATTTGCTCTGGGATGGTGTCCAAAGAATAAACGTATGAGAAAACTAAGACAAGAGCCCTGCTGGAAGTTTTGGCCTTGGTGCCTCTTCCTGAGGAACTGCTGCTGTGTGACTGTGGTCCTTAAGAGCACAGTCAGGAACCTGAAGCCTGGCTTAAAGTTTCACTTACTTAGAGCTTACCTAGTGAAAACAAGACCTGTCTGTCTGTCTGCCTGCCTGCCTGCTTGTCTGTCTGTGCCTTGTGATCTTCATCTGTCAAATAATTTTAGTGCTATACGTGAGTTTATGTTTGCAAAACTCTTAGGACTGTGTTTGATGCACAGTAAGTGCTAAGCAGGTATTTGTTTGATAAATGCAAAAGCCAGCTGCATTGACTCACATGTGACAAGACGTTGTATGCTGTGTGTGGATGAGATGCCATTTTACTACCTGGTACACATATTTTCAGATGCTGGGTTTCTGTGAAGATGGGGAGGTAAATCCAGGACAGGCTTGGGCTCAGTGTAGGGCAGAGATGGTGGTGTTCGGGGAACCGGAGCAGTGAGTTTAATCATGGCTTCCCTACGGAACCTCAAAATCTAGTACAGTGTGGCTTGTAGAGGACACAGAAAATGTCACTCTTCTGAAATGAGACTGTGACTCACCCTTCAAAGCCTTCAAAATGGAGTTACTATGTCAAACTGCATGACTTCACCTTCATATTTAACCCCCAGGGCCCTTGTCTTTGATGGCCCCGCTGGCTATGTGCTACATGCCCGAACAAAATGCTGAATGCGGGCCCACCTCAAGACGGATGCTTTGCTGATCTCAAAGGTAATGGCAGTGACAAATGGGGCCTCTCAGGGGACCACAGCGAGGGTTAGCCGTAGGAAATTGCACCGGCTCAGTGATTATGGCAACATCAGCAGTCGGAAGACAGGAGCAGAGCAGGAGGCCTCGGTCCCGTTGCTGCCTCGTCTGATCCGTCTCTCTGCGTGACGAGTGTGAGCTGTGTCTGCCTCCCTGCAAACGCGATTCCTCCCCCCCCCCCCCCGCTTCTTTTCTTCTCCCAGAAGGATAAATGAGCACCAAGAAATTTAGAACATCCAGATTATTCAGTGCCACCGCTGTCGCCAAAGCAGCACGCCCACTCTCCTTGGATGTCAAATGCAAGTGAAAATCGCTTCTGACAAAAGGTTTTGTGAAGGTCTTACCCATTTGTTTTAATTCAGGAGAAATTAATGAGCACCTACTATGTACCAGGTACACAAAGATGAATGAGATAATTTCTTGTCTTCAAGGAAGTCACAGTCGAATGGAAGAATCAGCTAAGTGAAAGCAGTGGTTGTTCTACTGTGTGTGTGTGTGTGTGTGTGTGTGTGTGTGTATGTGTATGTGTCTGCGGTTCCCAAAGGCCTATGCACCATGGCTGTTATTGGACAAACTGAGAAAACACTTAATCCAGAAAGTTGGTTGACTGATGTTCTTATTAACTACCCCAAAGAGTACTAGGTGGGCAATTTATTTCAAAAGGTTGAGTCTCAGTAACAGAAAAATATTAAACAAAAAATCTAAGAACAACATTTTCACAATTGGGTATTGCCTTGTGGGACCCTAAATCTTGTTTCTGAGACCATGGATTGATAAGGAGAGAGGAGACTAGGGAACTCTGGAGGGAAATCAGAAGCTGGGCCCTCTCTGAGTGAACCAAGGGCGAAGAGAGGAACTATTACTGTTGCTCTCAACTGAGCCCAGAAAGATGCTGATACTCATCTCACAGATCTTATTGAGAGAAATGAATTCAAACCCCTGTGCTCAACATGTGGCCCCACAGCTATATGACTAACACTCTTATCAAAGATTACCATTTGAAGACTTTATTGGGGTATGGTGCACTGGTAGGAAAAGTATCCAAATGCTGCATATATAGCTTTTTAAATTTATCTTTTGTGTACGTGTGTGTACTCTGTGTGTGGATGTTGGGTGTGTGTGTGCAGGTGGAGGCCAGAGGTCTAACCCAGCTTCTGTTCTGCATGCACTGCCTGCTTTGATTTTCTGAGACAGGGTCTCTCATCAGCCTGTAGCTCAGCACGGAGGTTAAGCCGGCTGACCCTTGAGCTCTAAGAGATGATCTGCCAGTCTGTGTCTCTCCAGTGCTAGAAGCAAAAGCACACTCCTGGTTTTCTGTGTGGGTGCTGGGGGTCTAAGACAGGACCTCATGCTTGTACGCTTACCATGACATGGAACATGTTACTACTCAGAAAGCTTCCTTGTGTCATCTTCAACTCAAATCACTCTTCCCACTGCTCTACCTTATCATAACAGATAATTTCACATGGACCCAAGCTTTACACAAATGGGATCAGGAAGCTGCACCCTTGCACATTCTGCCTGGGAAACCAGTCCTTCTGTTCTCATTGTTTTTCCATCAAATGTGAATGTCTGACTGGTTTGGTAATTCCCCTTTCGCATATCCTCGTCTGTGAAATGGCCGTTGGTGCTTTTCTGTTTGCTTGTTTTGCTCAACTTTGTCTGTGTTATTGTATAATATATTGCTTCTTCTTTTTTTTTTGACATTGGCTGGCCTGGAACTCATAGAGATCCACCTGCCACTGTCTCCCAGGTGCTGAATTAAAGGCATGAGCCTCATGCCTGGCCATCTGTTGCTTTTTTATTAGCTTATAAGACTTCTTTAGACTGTCTGCACATAAGATTCTGAAGCTTTGATCCACTTTCTTCCTATTTTTCTCTCCAGATAGCTCATTTGGTTTCTGAGCTTTCTCTTTCACTCCATTCTCTTAGATGTCCCAGACTCTCAGACTTCAGCTCTCCTGTTGGCTTCTTGGCTTTGTTGGAGTAGAATTTGTGTTCACAGAAGTAAGTGATACCCAACTGAGATGTCTTTGTTAAGGCTGTCTCTTCACTGTCTGTTTTTTTGAAACGAGAAACAGGGATGTGGTGGTGGAATTTTAGGAATTAGAAAAGTGACTGAGAATAGTTTTATTGGGAAATTACTGGGCAAGAATGGCCAATGGATAGTCTAGGGAGATAGCTCAGAGATAAGTGCACCTGCTGTGCAAGGATCTGAGTTCAAATATACAGAGTTCAAATCTACAGAATCCAGATTAAAAGCCTAGGCATGATCATCCGTGTCTATAACAGCAAAGCTGTGGGAGTTTGAGTGTGGAGACTGGAGAATTTCTAGGGCTTTCTGATAGTTTGTCTAGCCCCAGGTACATTAGAGACTGTTTCCATGGAATTAGGCACAGTGTAACAGAGAGTGACACCCAGTGTTTTCTTCTGGCCTCAACATGAGAGTATAGGTACACATCCAAGCACATCCATACACATGTACTCACACCTATACACACATCCAAGCACATCCATACACATGTACTCACACCTATACACACATATATGGTCCCCAATCTAGTTAACATGTACATAAGCCTATACCAAAACAAACGACAAAAGAATGTCTAATAAAATGACTTTTTTACATTTGTGAAACTCAACTATATTATTGTTTCTTATTTTTCTCCTTGAATTTTGGGCAAAACTTTGATAGATGATGGAATAGGAAAGAAATGTGCTCATCAGTAAGTGACTGCCTCATTTACAAAAAGTAAGGATTGAGGAGTGTAAGGCTACATGTAGACATTGTATTTCAGAACATTTCAACCGACTGACAGCGGGGGCTCACTGCCAGCCTGAGAGTCCTAGCCTACAATGTTCTGGGGAGATTTTCACCTTAGAAAATGGCACAGACACTGCAATAATAATTATGTGGGAGACCATGCATGCTTCAGAAGTTAGTGAGTAATCTGAAACTGGGAAGCACAGTCTTACACCTACAGCCTGAATGACTTAGGGCGTCCTTGAAGATACTGTCAAGAACAGGCACCACAAGAAGACAATGTGGTTAATTTGTGCGGTGAGAAAGAGTGAAGAGGTGAGAGGAAGGTATCGCCATCCTGATCAGAAACTGTCCCAGGTATTTCTCTAAGCTGGTACTCAAAACAGAAACACAGTTCTGAGATGCGCAACCGAAGCAGAGTGGACTGTCTGAGTTCACTGAACAGTCAGTTCATAGATTCCTCAATTCTGATTTTTTCCTGGCATAAAAACTCATTATATCTGCAACGTTTGTTGTTCACTTTCCATTGACCATGTTCTAAGGCAGATAATCATCATGTAACCTTTAAAGTGAGTCGAGTCATTTATTAGTTAGAACAGAACAAAAGGACTGAGAGCAACTTGTTTAAATTGGGGAAGCATTTACATTCATTTATTTACCCACTTATTGAGTGTTCATTGAGGAACTGCCTTATACCAGACATCATGCTAGATGCTTTTGGTACAACCTTGAACAAGAAAAAAGGTGTTTTTACCTGCATGGAGCTGGCAGCTTTGTGGGAAAGAAAGGAGTTGGCGCTAAGCTCTGTCTCAGAAAGAACCACCAAGTACTTGCCATTAGAGAATGTGAGGAAAGCCATTTCCGGAAGAGGGCCCTACAGATAGTATTTTAGACTTTGGAAAGAGGTTGGCAAATTTAGAGGCTAGAGTGGAAAGTGACTGAAGCATCTTGAGTACATCTGCTGAGGATCCAGTAAAGTAGATCTTTCTGAAAAAGCTGTAGCCAAAGCCCTCTACCACTGTCTAGATTACCTAGTCTCCCTGCTCTCCTTCTCTCCATTCCTCTCTCCCACCTTTCCCTCCTTCCTTTCTCTGTCTCCACCATTCTGTAGTTGGTGCTGATGAGCACTTGGGGAATTCATGCGGAAGAGAACATTGACAGGGGCCTCGCTCCTCAAGGATGCCGGTAATAGAAAGTAGGAACTTGGCATTTTAAGGTGACAGAAGCTCAGAGGTGATTTAAAAGGGAAGGAATTAACCTCAGAATGAAAAAACAAATATTAGGGGTGGCTGCCTTTATTCAGGGTACAACTTGCCACTCTGTGAAGATAGATTTCTGGACGTTTAAATACAGCTTTCCCATTCCTAGGTAAGTGTTCAAAGATACAGGCAACAGTTTCCCGACCTCAGCTTTACCAAGAGTCAGATAAAGAACAGCAACAAAAGTCTTATTAACCAGTCAAAAATGGCTTTTCCAGCTTCCACTGAACTACCTTTTGGTTAGATAACTTTGACAGTCAGAATCCCAGTTGACATGAGATTATTACATCTTCTTCAATGCCTTTCAGAAGCATTTAGGTAAATACTCATCAGCCTTTTCTATGTGAAAGGTATCCCTAAATGTTTTATGGTTGACAAGAGGACATGTGTTTTTCATGCATGTGTTCACAGGTTGTCTGTGCTTTTCTTACTTGTTTTGGATGGAGATGTAGGAAGTAGAGTGGATTCTAGCCTGTTCCACATGTTTTTTTTTAATTTATTCTTGGATTCAGGCAGAAGAAATGGCTATCAAATAGAATATCTCAAGTGAATGACAGAAACTTACAAGGCCTCTAAAAGCACAGATTCAATAGTTGTCAGTCACATACTATTCTGTAAATGAGTCGTATAGATAAACTTTGATGGAGCTGAGAAGGACCAGCATCCTCCTGTATTGCATATTCATGATGTCAGTCAGGTATGACTGAAATTATTAAAGAGTATCTATCTGGTCTATATTATATAGACCTTTTTTATCACCAGTCCTGAAATAGTGTAGGACTATAACTATGTAGAATTTGTATTTTATTAGTGTAAGTAATCTAGAGTTGATTTTTTTAGGTACTGGAGATTGAACCTATGGCTTTGTGCTTACTGGGACTCTACCACCGAGCTACATTCCCAGCTCTCTTTTCACTTGGAATACCTTTGGGGGTTACAAGGTCTCACTAAGCCACAGTGTGGTTTTGAACTTACTCTGTAGCCTAAATAGGTCTTGAACTTTTGATTCTCTTGCCTTGGCCTCTTGAGTAGCTGTGATTATGTGAAAGTAGCATGTGTTTGCCAACTAATGCAGTACACTGTGAAGTATAAAAGCATTCATGTTTATAAAATAGCTTTAACAGATAAACTAAATACTTCTCAGCAGTGTGATCAGAGGCCATTAGGGAATGCTGTATTTCAAAAGAAATGTTATTTCTATGATTTTCTTTCATGCTACACGAGCGGAGTTAGCATTCAAAGTGGATACATAGCAATAATCTGAAGTGCCTGATGGAGAGAAATTGTTGTGGGAGAAATTCAAATTCAAACGATAATAATTTAGAGGCATCCAAGTAGTCACTCATGCAGGATCAGAATGACCCATAGTGCATTAAATATAGGAACACAATTGGCAGGGGGTTGATGAGTGTTGTGCCGTATGGATCGGTATAATTGCTATGTTGCTGACACAACTTCATGCTTTGTTCGGTTGAACAGCGTGTGCTCCTTACACCCGATTTTACCCTGCAAATTCAGGTGCTGTGTGGCTAGGATTTCTACTCCAAGTGACAGAAGTAGTCATTTTCCCTGCATGAGGGAAAAAGCATAAATCAGCCTTTGTGTTGGGAATGTAAATATAGTTCTGTCTGAAGCACAGACTTGTAAGTTCAACTTAGTTATGGAATTACGGTTTAAACGTAGAAAAGCTTAAGTGCAGTGCCTTGACTGAGTGTTTAGACAGCGGTAGACTTCATAGCTTTGTGCTGACATTAGGTGTTGTTCTTGGTGTGGAATGGTGTTTATTTGAGAATGTTATTTACTTTCTGCAGCTTCAGGGAGCACTCCTTTAAATGGAGCCCCCGAGCAGCACCAATAGACTCCGTGCCCACCATGATCTTCTCCAATTAGGAATACCACTGTGGCCCAAGCTCTGAGAGACCCATGAGTCTGCACCTGCTTCGTCAGAATTGTAAGGCCATCCTACTATGTGCATCAGATTAGCTGCTTCCTCACGCAGACGGTGAGAAACATTTCTGAAGAGAGCTACTTGCCAATATTCCTCTTGCGTGATTAGAGATAAAACAAGAAGAAGAAATTTGATTTATCTCCTAAGAGAAATAGAATCCTCTTTACTCAGTGAGGTGGTGTGGAGGATTGCATGAGATATGTCTTGCATGATCTCAGGCATTTGAACACCTGGTTGGCAGCTGGTGGCAGGGCCTGAGGCATTTTAGGAGGTGCGGTCCTTGCTACAGGAAGTGCATCTGCTGTCCTTGCTACAGGAAGTGCATCACTAGGGGTGGGCTTGGAGAGTTCAAATCCTCCAGCCACTTGCAATTTGTCCTCTTTTCTTCCCACTTGCAGTTCAAGATGGAGTTTCTCCGCTTCCTGTTCCGGCTGCCACGCCGATCACTTGTTGCCCTGCTTCCCTTCCATGGTGGGCTCTGCACCTCTGCAACGGGAAGCCCTAATAAATCTCTTCTGTATGTTGCCTTAGTCGTGGCGTTTTATCACAATGGCATTAAAATGGTTGATACAGGTGGCTTTCTGAGTAAAAGTCACTGCTGCACAAGCCGAAGGATTTCGTCTTGATCCCTGTAACCACTTTAAGAGGAGAGAACCAACTCAGAAGTTGTCCTCTGACCTCTGCATGGATGTGATGTTCTCACTGCTTTGCATGCCCCCCCTCCAGACAACACATCTTTTGAAGTGTTGCCTCTGAGCAGATAAATTATCAATGACTCTCTATACACATCTGAGATAGCAGAGATTGGAAGGGACTTTGCTAACGAACCAGTTGTTTTCACTCCAATATAAGGAAACACTGTAAAGACCACATGGAGGTGGCACACGCCTTTAATCCCAGCACCCGGAAGGCAGAGGCAGGTGGATCTCTGTGAGTTCGAGACCAACCTGGTCTACAAGAGCTAGTTCCAGGACAGGCTCCAAAGTTATACAGAGAAATCCTGTCTTGAAAACAAAATCAAAACAAAGCAAAACAAAACAACCCCCCCAAAAAAACCAAAAAATATTCTGTCCTGGAGAAGGAAGTATTGGAGGAACCAAAGGAGCCAAGGAAACCAAAAGGAAACCCACAGAATCAACTAATCTGGGCTCATAGCGGGTCACAGAGACTGAACTGACAACCAAGTAACTGCTGTGTAACTTGGTCTTCTTGGGGTACTCCTAACCGTGGGAGCAGGGCTATCTCTGACTCTGTTACCTGCTTTTGGGAGCCTTTCCTCCTACCTTAATAGGAGAGGAGGGGCCTAGTCTCACTGCAGCTTGATATGCCATGGCTGGTTGACATCCATGGAAGGCCTGCTGTTTTTTGAAGAGAAAGGAGAAGTAGTAGGTGTGTGTGTGTGTGTGTGTGTGTGTGCACATGCACGCGTGAGCACGTATGTGCATGGGGGGTGACTGGGAGGAGGGAGGGAAACTGCAGATTTAAAAACAAATAAACAAATTATTCTTCTGAATATCTAATTAGGTGCTCACGACCAAGGTGAGATCTGCTTTATTGGTGGTCTCTAGTTAGAGGTAGGTAGTTGTTAAGTAGGTGGGGTTCATACACAGGCTGAAGGGCAGACTATGCAACGCTTGGCTTCTATTTCCTTCTGAGATGGTCAATGTCTTTAATTCCCAGTCTCGCCAGTGTACACATGATATCATCTGAGTTTGTTCTAGCAACAAAGGGTTCCAACTCTTCACTTGGTGAGCTGTCAATGCCAATCATAACATGAAAAGTCAGCCATTAAAACCGCTGCTTCAAAGACAAAAGCTTAATCACCCCGAAACCCTGGTTATTGAAGTAGTTGTTGAAAAGGACCATCCTATGACAGCAAAAAGCAAATAAAGATTGATGAGGCCAAGTAAAAGGTAAATACCGACCTTTGGAGAGAATTAAAACATTTCACAGGCTTACCTTTACTCACTGCAAAACAAGGCAATTATCAGACTTTTGACTTTTTAATTATACTGTTGCCACATATTTTAACTTTAATGTGTTGAAGAGTCTTGGATGAAATTGTTTTAATTGAGGCCAACTCAATTTTTGGTTATTATTTGTAATTAGGTAGAATTTTCCCTTAATGTAATTTTGTTGAAGGCTTCAAAACATCTAAAAGAGAAGCCAGCAGTATAGACAATTAAATGGTTATTTATACAACTCAATTTCCTCACCTAATGAACTTTGCAGTAAGGAAATCAAAGGAAGGGAGCTAGCGTTTAGCAAGCGACCACTCTGTACGAGGTGTCTTGCACTAATTATCTTATTTAATTTTTAAGTTACCTGGTAAAGCAGACCTTTAGTACCCCTCACCCTCTGAACCTTTCTGAGTTCCAGAAGTGCTATATGATTGATGCTGCTATTAAGATAACACGAGACAGAAGTTGGTGGCAGTTTTAGTGTAGGGACTCCCCCAAAGCAGTATCTCCTGACTAAAAGCCAGACATGTACCATATCCTGACAACAGGTATGTCTTTGCTGGAGGCCAAGGATGCTGGAGGTGTTTAAGCCCATATGCCATTGATTCTGCCCTGTTTATAGGCTGGGCGACAGAAGGGAGATTAACTCTTTTTCTTTCTACTCCTGCATAAGTCTGGCAGCCCCACAGAGTTGGTACAGGACACACCCAGACACCGGATTCTTGGCACAAAGAGATTTATTACCCCAGAGGGGCAAACAGAGGGGGGAGGGAATGGGGAGGGGGGCTGCTTCTGGAGCAGATAGAGGCAGAGCTAGCAAGTGTTTTTACAGGAGTAGGTTTCTAAGGAGAAAGAGACAGAGTTTGTGTTAGGATGAGTTGTGAAGTCCTAATTGGACTTGTTAGCCAAATAATGAATTTTGGTTCTTGGATGTTGGTGTTTTGTCTCAGGAAAGAGTCAGTGGCCAAATAAGGCAATGAACCTTGGGGGTAGCTTTAGGAACATAATCTAATGGTTTTGAGCAAAGGAGAGAGAAGGATAAAGACAAAGCCTGTGGGGAGGGTGGGAAATGCTTGGCCTGCTGGAGTCCTTCAGTCTTCAGGTCTTCAGGAATGGCAGGAGGGATCTGCGGTTTCCTGTCTCCTTCTAAATGAGCACCTGCCTGGAAGCTGCACGCGAGGAGGAGGAGACCCCAGTCTCTACCCTTCTGGACAACAGCTTTGGACCTCGATCTCTAGATTTTCACGATGAAATGGGTTGCCTATGTCCACCAATTTCAGCCTGTTTCCTAAATTATTTTAGGATTACTCCTTCAGAGGGGGTATGGTAAGGTAGCAGTAAAGCCAAGACTCTGTTGAAGTCTTTTGAGGACAATTATTCCCGAGGGCAGGAGGAGAAATCCAACTGTGGGTAGAGATTCCATTCTCTCCTCTCCCAAGAGTTAATCTTGTTGAGTTCTTTTTTTTGTGGTGCCTCCTAGGTGGGCAGCCATATCAATGTCTTCTGCCACCAGCTGTCAGAAACTCACTGAAGTAAACGATGAGCACAAACTTCATACCGTCTATGAGAATGGAATGGCCATGGAAGTAGCCGCTGTGGGTGATGACTACAGGATGATGTGGTCCAAATCAGTGGTGGGAAGGACAAACAAGGGTTTCCCATGAAGCAAGGCATCTTGACCCACAGCAGAGTGCACCTGCTGTTGAGTACAGGGAATTCTTGTTATAGAACAAGGAGAACTGGAGAGAGGAAGGGCATGTCTATTGGAAGATACATTGTGGATGCCAATCTGAGTATTCTCAACTGGGTTATTGTAAAAAATGGAGAGAAGGGCATCACTGTGCCTCAGCAGCTGGGCCCTAAAACAGCTAGCAGAACTAGAAAGCATTTTATTCTTTCTAATGAAGATAATGTCTATCAGCATATTGTCAGAAAGCCCTTGCACAAAGAAGGTAAGAAGCCAAGGACCAAAGTGCCCAAGACCCAGCATCTGTTCCTCCATGTGTCCCGCAATGCAAAAACAGATGTGTGGCTCTGAAGAGACAATGCATGAAGGAGACTAAGGAGGAGGCTGCAGGGTAGGCTAAGCTTTGGGTCAAGACGATTGAAGGCGTCAAAGGGAAACAAACAGGAATGATTGCCAGAAGACGGAAGGCTGTCCTCACTGTGAGCTTCTAGCTCGAAGCCAGAGTCCAGTCAAAACTAAGTCATTATGAATAGCAAATGAACCCTCAGACCTTGAAAAACAAAAACTTAATCTACTTGGGTTGATCGGGTCACATGACTTAGAGACCAGGCCTTAGGAAGGGTGATTCTCCTTAACCCTTGCCAAAGAGATAGGAGGAATAGTTATTCCTTTAATGAGACAATAGGTTTTCCTCCTCAGAATCCCCACCCTCCATGCAGTTGCTCATGGGGTGCAGCCCTTTAGCTTTTTACAGGAAACACTTAATCTTCCCTAAACACGCTTTTCTTGGCACTTCTGGGACCCTCACTATTTCTCTGAAGTTCCTCCCCGTTGCTATGCTGCTCTTGTCTCCCATGTGGTTGCTTGGCGACCTCCGTGTCTAACACAGAAGGCCTAGCCTTCTCTTGTCCTCCTCTTCATCTTTCTTCTCTGGCAGCTGCTGAGATTAACAGCTTGTCTGCCCTGGAGGTTTTCTTTGAAATTTTTATAAAATTGCCCCTGTGCTTCCTCCTGAGTCTGCTCTTAAATTCTTTTATTGATGAGACTGAGAACCCAGAGGAAGGACCTCCAGTTTCCCCAGTAAAAGTGGCAACTCATGTGGGTCTCCCCAAAATTCCCAGCAGTTATTTCAGTGATTCCCAATACTGGGAATGTCTCATTTGCAGTGGCCCTGGTCATACTAGAAATTCAGGGTGTCTTTGAGTTTGATGGAGATTTTTCTACTCTTCTTGAGTTTAGCTTGGGTAGGGAGGGGCTAGGGTTTTAGAGAACAGTAAGCAATGCTGCCTTTGGCCAGTGGCTTTCTGGTTCTTGTCTGACACTTGAACAAAGACATTTGTGTATTGTGTGATTGATTTACTCTTTTGTCTTTTTTATTCTTTTGAGGTCCACCACCCAGCTCCCAAATACATCACACATGGCGGTTTACTTATTCTTAGTTATGAATGACTGACCTTAGCTTGACTTGTTTCTAGCCAGCTTTTCTTATCTTTAAATTAACCCATCTACCTTTTCCCTCTGGGCATCTTTCTTCTGTATTTCTTACTTTCCTTCTTACTCTGTGTCTGTGTGTCTGTGTGTCTGTGTGTCTGTGTGTCTGTGTGTCTGGGTGGCTGGGTGGCTGGGTGGCTGGGTGGCTGGGTGGCTGGGTGGCTGAGTGACTGGCCCCTGATGTTCTCCTCTTGTTCTTTCGATGCTGCTCTGCCTAGTTTCTCCTTCTATTTATTCTCTCTGCCTCCCAGCCCCGCCTATCCTTTCGCCTGCCTCACTATTGGCCATTCAGCTCTTTATTAGGACCATCAGGTGTTTTAGTCAGGCAAAGAGTCACAGTTTCACTGAGTTAAACAAATGCAGCAGGAAAAGAGTCACACATTTAAAAATAATGTTCTACCACATTTGTGGATCTCAGAGGGTGAGTTTTAAAAAAGTCTTTTATAGATTCATATTCGGGGGTAGGAGAAAGGAGTGTGTGCTGAGCTCCAGCATAGCAGGGTGTGTCTGTGGAAACTGGTGCCATTAAATTACAAGTTTGGAAGCTTTTGAAGGGCTTGTGTTGGAATGGTGGGCCTGGAGGGGGATCAGCTGTGAGATGGATCATCTATGAGATGTCCAGGTGCCACCTCTCAGTTTTGGTTCCATTCCTGTGTGTAGATAACTTCCAGACAAAGATAAGAAATAACAGACAGGAATCAGATCTTATCTGGCATTCCTAGGTTCTAGCAAGATCATTTGCAGAGCTGCTGTCTGGGGCTCCCAGCTCTACCTGACCAGTTTCTATTTCCTGTTTTCATCAGTGGGAGGAAGAAGGAGCACTATGGATCAATTTCAGGGAGTACTTAGGATATCATCTTGCCTTCAGATTTGGGGACTATACCTTATGTCTTCTGATTTTCTTTTTCTTGGCTACTGATCCCAAGTGGTACTAATTTCACACCGGCCCAAAGTGTCCACTCATCTCACTTTCCTGTCCTCCCGCTGACATCTTTTGGGAGTACAGGACAGTTCTAGATCTCCCCATTATCACTTAGCTTCTGCCTATTTGGGCTTCTGAGATAGGAGTCAATTGAACTTTACTCCACTCTTTGATGTAGAGAGTGAAAATCATACATCCAGGCTCTCCCATTGTCCACTGGGGCGCCTGAGCACTGTTTACCAGATGGAGGGCAACGGGGCAGATAGGATGGATAGCTGGGGCAAGACTGTGGTTTTGTCCAAAGTTATCAGTGTGTCTCTTGGTCTGTCCCCTCCCTTCCATAAATAGCTTTAACCTAGATGACTGGTTCCAGTTTTCATCATTTTCTCTGTAAATTCTTCAATTGGGTCAGGCATTGATTGCATCCTAGTTTTTCAATTTCAATGCAATGACACACAACTGTCATTTTAAGTAAGGCTGAAACAACATTGAAGAAAACAAAACTTTTAGAGTTTATCTGGCTGAGGACTTGTTGACATCTTGAAACCTTTAAACTCAGCATCTAGAAGAGATTCTCCACAGGCCTTGAGAGGAACTTTGAGGACCCTGGAAACTTCCTCAACACATGAATATATCTTGTTCATTCAAGTCATGCTTTCTCTATTGAGGTCAAAGAAACCACTGGTGTCAGTCACTTTCAACATTCTGCAAAACTTATATGAGTTTTGGATTTCATAATTGCAGAAGTTAAAATAGCCCTTAAATCATTTCCATAAGTTTTTTCCAGTATGCTTACAAACAAACAAACAAGCAAACAAACAAACAACCCTTATGTTAAGCAGACAATATGGCAGCAGCATGTCTGGGGAAGTTAAACCGTAATTTTGAATCAAAACATCATTACCTCTTATGCATATATTTCTAGTTGGATCCATTCTTTTTGTTATTTTATTCCCAAAGTGATACTAAAGAATTTACAACTATAGTCTCTTTTAATGCAGTTTGGGTTTGAAACTATTACGGTGGTGAAAATAGAATTAGGAAAAGAATCCACATCAAGTAATGGAGTGTTAAGATGTTCTAATTAGAGTTATAATTGTAAATTGAATGTGTTAAGATAACTTAAATTTTTCTCATCTGGACATTTTTTGGTTTATATTTTACTTTGTTATCCCATGTCTGGCTGAATCTAGGCTGAGCCCTAACTGCATTAGGAGGGAACAGAGCTTTTTAGAAATACCAGTCATCATGATAAAAATAAAGGTATTATTTTTGTATGGGTTCCCCTGTGCTGTTACTTCAAATCACTTCTCAAAATTCTTCTCAAGTATAAGTTCTCATGTGAGACAGATGGTAACAAGTTTCACCACAGTTTAGAACCCATTTTGGCTATCCACACTTACCCTCCTCATAGAATTCTATCTTCCAGATTCCCTCCCTCCCTCCCTTCCCCCTCCCTCCCCCTCCTGTCTGTCTTCTGTTTTCGCTTTACTTTCTTGATTCTTAGCAGACCATGTTGATGCATTGGGGCTTAGAAGGCAGAGATGGTCAGGCAGTAGTTATTCCCCTCTGGTCTTTCTACACTGAGCACACACCTTGCCCCTCCTTCTGCCTGTCTCCTTTTCAGCTAAGTGCCTACTCAGCACTCACCTTCTCTTGCCTCTCTTTCTGAGTTTCTACCCTACTTTCCTTTTTATTTTTTTGGATAAGCATACAAAACATATCACATCCTTTATGCTTCAAGGGACTGACTGGCCACCCTCGTGTCTTCTTACCCATTTCTGCCCTACTGTTTCTGTTCTTCTCCCCCTGTCCTTCATGTTTATTCGTTACTTCATCCTGCACATGTTATTAATACAGAAAGTAATTGTTTCAGAGGTTCTATTAAGCAAAGGTGAAAACAAAAGCAACCTTTGGCCTCTACATCCTTCCAATCATGTCACCAAACACGCTTATTATTTATAATTTCATATCATATCATTGGATGGTACAAGTCTGTATCCCGACTCCTTTCACTGAGTATAATTCCTGGTAAATCTAGGATAATTAGTAAGTAGCTGAATTCACACTTAATGTTTTAACATCAGTTACCTGTTGCCACACAAATACTGTGTAACAGAAGTTACAAATCTGATACACAATCGTGAACATTTGTTTACTTCATAGATTTACAGAATGAGCAGCACCAGGCTGGGCTCAGAGGCTCTCATCTGAGTTTCTCTTTGTGGTAACTAGAGGCCACCAAGGCAGCTCCTCTGATCTTGGGGTCACTTTCAAATTGATAGATAGTCTAGAATGGCTTCCTTTCAGTCAAACTGAGAACAGTTAGCTCTGTTCCACATACCATAGGTCTACCAGGCAAGCCTAGTTATACTCGTAGACACTTCTAAGCTTTTGAGAAATAAATTTTAGAAGTCATTTTAAGATTACTTGTGTTATGCTCAAAGACATTCCTTTGTCTAGGAAAAGCCCTATTACTCAAGTTAGAGTCCAACAACAGAGAAATAGATTCACGTCTTTGCTGAAGAAGAGCTAATTGTCATGACACAGACTGAATTAGGGAATGGTTCAAAACAAAATGGCATGGGTCATGAATATAATGAAATCTACCATATATAAGATCTTCAGATTGATAATTTAACATCGATTTTTATACCTTGTAAATGGAGTTCTTAATTGGTCTAAACAATAAAAACTCATAGTCAGAGGAAACTGCTGAGAGATCAGAGAGAAGAAAGAGCAAGCCAAAGCCACCTTTAGCTTATTAACTTCCCATCAGGAAAAAGATGAGTTCCTGTTTCTTCCAGCTTATATCCTTTCTCTGCCTAGCCATCTCACTTCCTGTTTCCTCCCAGTCATCTCACTTCCTGTCTGTCTGTATAGACCTCCTGACCTCTATGGTTAGCTGGTGGCAAGCTCCATCCTCTGATCATCAGATAAGCTTTATTTGTACAAGCAAGACATCACTATAATGCCAGTTATTTTTAAATATCTTTATTATTAGGTATTAGTTCACTTTGCTTTTAAATTCTTATAAAAATAAGTCCTGCTACAAATAACCATATGCAGCTCTCCCATCACATTGAATTAATTCTTTTGTAGATAGTAAAGCAGCTAAAATAAGCAGAATTTGTTTTCTAAACATAACGAGTTTCGGGGTTATATGGCTGGATCCTCTTGGTGTTTCATTGATTCGAGGTTATAGTATAGTTTAGTTTTTGGTTTTTCTTTTATATCTAGAAGATGGCTGCTATAGTTACAACTTCCACTCTCCCATTTGATGTAGGGAGAAGGAAAACCAGAAGAGGCCATCAGTGAGCTGAATCTTTTCCTCTTTGATCAGAGCTGTGGTGGGGGTTGCAACTGGCCACATGATAGCTCTGGAGAAAGGAGTTGGGTTGGGATGAGTCAGTAACCTCAGTATCTTCTACAATTAGCAAACTAGCATACAGTCCAGGAGTATAACGATCAGGTCTAAATGGCATGTACATTTTTACTTCCTTTCAAGTGAAATTTCTGTATTGCTGTCAACATTGTGTTATGATTTTTTACCAGAAATTTGTCAACATTCTTTAAATATGATGGTGAATATTTTCTAGGTCCTTTAAAATAATTTGCACGTGTACATAATGTTGACCACGTACAGGCTTCATTTTGTTTTCTTATACATGAAAAATGACTCTTTAAAATTAAGGCTACAAATTCCTCTTTGTTATATCTATTACCTCTTTTCCTTTTAGTATTAAAAATTCCCATTTTGAGTATATTTAAAAATTTTAATTTAACTTTTGGTTGGTTAGACATTCTATAAATATTTGATTTCTATAGGGTTACTGCTAATTTGTTGCTTAAATTTATAGGGAGTGAAAGATTAGCTATTCTTCCATGGGGTATTTTATTTTCATCAGAAGATTGTCCCATCTGATAACTTTGCTGGAGCAAGTCACTAGCCTGCCATCTCTGAGAAATATTTCTTAGTAAACACCGTTCTGCAGTTGGTGCTTTTGGATGCTGTCTGAAGAAGTGAGGTCCCCTGAGGCTACATGTCAACTTCCTTCATAGTCTGTACATACCCAGTCTCTAAAATGTCATGCAAATAGCTAAGTTGAACAAAAAGACAATGATTAAGAATCTGGCTCTGTGGGAGCCTAAAAATAAAGCACAATTGGCCCCAGAATCAATTAAAGTCATTATAAAGGTGTCTTTTAAAAGATTTTCTACCTGGAATTATTTAAAGATAAATTTAAGAGTATAATGTAGTTACTAACAAATAACACCCAATGGGGTTATCAAACTGAAGTTTAAAGGGGAGAAAAGTGATGCATGTTGGGAACTTGTCTTTTGCAGGTACTTTACAAAGTTAGAATAAACTTTAACAATATGGTTGGAAGGTGAGTTTTTCTGAGTAAGCGAATGGAGAAGAAAACTGTAAACCAAGCTTTTATTTTAAATCAGTTATTAATGAGTTATTTTGTGAAATCATTTAATTTCTTTTTTTATTAAAAATATTTTTCATTTTACATACCAACCCTAGTTCCCCCCTCCCTCCCCTTCTCTTGCCCCTGCTACCCCCCTCTCTCCCACCAACCACTCCACATAGGGGGTAAGGCCTTCCTTGAGGAGTCAACAAAGTCATAGTAAGTTGAGGCAAGACCAAGCTCCTTCCCCCTGTATCAAGGCTGAGCATAGTATCCCACTATATTGAATGGGCTCCAAAAAGTCAGTTCATGCACCTGGGATAGGTCCTGGTGTCACGGCCACGCCAGACAGATCAAGTTACACTGCTGTCACCCACATTCAGAGAGTCTGTTTCAGTACCATGCAGCTTTCCCAGCGGGTGGTCTGGAGTCCGTGAGTTCCGATTAGCTGGGGCCAGCTGTCTGTGGTTTTTCCCCATCATGCTCTTGACCCCCCCTTGTTCATATGATCCCTCCTCCCTCTCTTTAACCAAACTCCAGGAGCTCCACCAGGGTCACTGCATCTGCTTTCATCAGTTACTGAATGTATGATGTTCTATGATGACAGCGTTGGCACCAGAGAAATTCTCAGAAATACACAAGGACGGCCCCAGCAATAGTGGAGAGGATGCCTTCCTTCCCCTGTAGTCAGATTAGTGACTACCCTAATTGTCATCAGTGAAATCACTTAATTTCTACAGGCTTCCTTGGCTTCTCTATCTAGCATGTGTATATGATGACACTGAATCTGCAGGTCTATAAGAGAGCCACAGTAATTATCTGAATAGGATTTAATGGAGTCTAAGGGCCTAATTGTTTTAAATTGAATTGCAGTAGGAAGTATTATTTTTATAACTCAGGGTTACATTGGTTGATTTTAAATGATTGAAGAAAGTAGAACCTGTTCCCAGCAAGAGTGTAAATGAACTTCAGAGGTCTCTGCAGGTGGGACAGTGGCAGGACAGTCAGGATGGACACATGTTTGCTGAAGGAAGCTTGCTATGAAAAAGAAGAGTGTCTAGTCGTAGCTGTCAGTTGAGCCTTCTCAAAAATCACTTAAATTTGTCTCTAAAACAAACAGCATGGAGTCTAGTACGGAATATGCCCCAGATTGGGTTTTGAACCTGTTTCTTTCTCTTAGATTTTAGTTACTGTTAACACGGTATTGGTTGTGATAGTTTGGATCGTAAGCAAGAACAGCTTTTGCTGGCCTCACATAGGATATTTGGGACAAATCCTCAGCAGTGACCCTCTGAGATCCGTCTAGGCAGAGACAGTCATTCCAATTTGTTCTTAGGGCAACTTCCACACTTGTTTTTGAGTCATTTAAGAGGAAATAAATCCATTTCTGGGAACATTTTCCTTTAATTTTGAAGAGAAATTATTTTAATAATTACATATGCTGCAATGGGCTGGGATTATAGCTTTGCTTTATTGATTATTCCTTTCTGTGTATGTTTGTCTGAATGTATGTACGTGTACTACATGCGTCCCTGGTGTCTGTGGAGGCCAGAAGAGTGTGTCAGGCCCCCAGGAACTGGAGTTCCAGATGGTTATGAACTGCCATGTGACTACCAAAACCAAACTTGGATCCTCTGAAAGAGCAGCAAGAGCTCTTAACCACTGAGAGATCTCTTCAGTTGCGGAGTGTTGCTTTTACTATTTACCTTTCCCAGCCTTCCTTATACGTTCTTAGCAACAATAGAAGGATCCCAACAGACTCAGGAATGTGGGAAAAGTGAAGGCCACTGTTGGAAGTGAAAGCATCTAGAACAGGGCTTCTAGCCTGTGGGTTGCAACTCCTTTGAGGGGTCAACTGACTTTTCACAGAGGTTGCCTGAGGCCATCAGAAAACACAGATATTTATATTACAATTCATAACAGTAGCAAAGTTATACTTATGAGGTAGCAACAAAACAACTTTATGGTTGGGGGTCACCATAACATGAGGAATTGTATTAAAGCTTCACAGCATTAGCAAGGTTTAGAACCAAGGATCTAGAGAAATAAAACTGGAAACTGAATGTACCTGACAGAATCTTGCGTTTAAAGGCCTTTATTATTATATTGGTTGCTTTTAGTTAAAATTATGCATTAAAACGTAAACTATAATTCTTGCTCAAACAGTGATAGTCATCACTGTAGAGATAAATTCTAAGCTGATAAATCATCTTCACAAAACCAGAGGATATAATTCATTATGTACTATTAAGCCGTAGTATGATAGGGTAATATTTAAGCTTTATCAACAGTGCTATTGAAGCTCTATCAGTGTGGAGTATTGTTTATTATCTTAGCTACCATGCTTTTTTTCTTGGTCTAACTATCCATCAACTTTTATACTTATAGCTGAAGAGAATAGAAGTCAACTTTCATGAAATTAACCCTAAATCCTTTAAATTTATTGCATGTTTTAAAGCTATGTCAAGGCTTCAATATAGTCAACTAAATGTTAGGTAAATTGGAAACCTAATACAGGTTTCTAATACAGAAAATTTGATTTAATTATGATATAGAGCTAATAAAAGAAAGTTGGTTTTTATTTTAGATGGCTTGGGACTTAAATGGAAACTATGAAGTTTTCTTGTATCTTTGTAGTACTATTCTGACATTTCTAGTGATCTCCATAAACTTTCATTTCCATATATAAGCTTATGAAGGGTCTTCATATATATATATATATATACAAACTAGCTTAATAAGATCGTCTGCCATGATTAGTCATCAATTTGGTATTGAAAGGGCACCAACCCAGTCAATAAAATTGTCTGCTGTTGGTGTGGTCTGTGGCAGTCCTAATCTCAATGCTAATTTCCCTTAAACTGTCAAAATAATAGAGCAATATTATTTGTACAAGACGGATAACTATTATGTGTATTAGGCTTTGCAAATTTAGTGTAGCTACATTTCACAAAACCTGTGAACAGTTCTTCATAGGAGGAAAGTTTCCTCCTGATAATTTATTTCACTATACAGGCATTTATTGTTTGGAAAAAAAGGCTGTTGGAAAAGTAAATTGATAAAAATTTGCCTACATAGTGGATAAGGAAAAAGACATGTCTGTTTGTTTCTTTATTTA